CTAAGCCCGTACAAACAATTAGGGAAGACATCCTTAACCCGTACAAACAATTAGGGAAGACATCCTAAGACCGTACAAACAATTAGGGAGGACAACTTAAACCAGTACAAACAAATAGGGAGGACATCCTAAACCCGTACAACCAATTAGGGAGGACAACTTAAACCATTACAAACAAATAGGGAAGACATCCTAAGCCCGCAAAAACCAATTAAGGAGGACATCCTAAGCCCGTACAAACAATTAGGGAAGACATCTTAAGCCCGTACAAACAATTAGGGAGTACATTCTAAACCCGTACAAACAATAAGGGAGGACAGCTTAAACCAGTACAAACAATTAGGGAGGACATTATAAACCCGTACAAACAATAAGGGAGGACAGCCTTAACCCGAACAAAAAAAATAGGGAGTACATTCTAAACCCGTACAAACAATTAGGGAGAACAGCTTAAACCAGTACAAACAAATAGGGAGGACATCCTAAGCCCGTATAAACAATTAGGGAGGACATCCTAAGCCCGTGCAAACAATTAGGAAGGACATCCTAAACACGTACAAACAATTAGGGAGGACATCCTTAACACCAACAAACAATTAGGTAGGACATCCTAAGCCCGTACAAACAATTAGGAAGACATCCTAAACCCGTACAAACAATAAGAGAGGACATCCTTAGCCCGTACAAACAATTAGGGAAGACATCCTTAACCCATACAAACAATTAGGGAAGAGAGCCTAAGCCCGTACAAACAAGTAGGGAGGACATCCTAAGCCCATACAAACAATTAGGGAGGACATCCTAAGCCCCTACAAATAATTAGGGAAGACACCCTTATCCGTACAAACAATTAGGGAATACATCCTAAACCCGTACAAACAATAAGGAAGACATCCTAAACCCGTACAAACAATAAGGGAGGACATCTTTAGCCCGTACAAACAATTTGGGAAGACATCCTAAGCCCGAAAAAACAATTAGGGAAGACAGCCTAAACCCGTACAAACAATTAGGGAGGACATCCTAAGCCCGTACAAACAATTAGGGAAGACAGCCTAAGCCCGTACAAACAATTAGGGAAGACAGCCTAAGCCCGTGGAAACAATTAGGGAAGACAGCCTAAGCCCGTACAAACAATTAAGGAAGACAGCCTTAGCCCATACAAACAATAAGGGAGGACATCCTGAACCCGTACAAACAATTAGGGAAGACAGCCTAAGCCCGTACAAACAATTAGGGAAGACAGCCTTAGCCCGTACAAACAATTAGGGAGGACATCCTAAGCCCATACAAACAATAAGGAAGACATCCTAAACCCGTACAAACAATTAGGGAAAACATCCTTAGCCCGTACAAACAATAAGGAAGGACATCCTAAACCCGTACAAACTATTAGGGAAGACATCCTAAGCCCGTACAAACAATTAGGGAAGACAGCCTAAGCCCGTACAAACAATTAGGGAAGACATCCTAAGCCCGTACAAACAATTACGGAACACATCCTTAGCCCGTACGAACAATTAGGAAAGACATCCTAAACCCGTACAAACAATTAGGAAGACATTCTAAACCCGTACAAACAATAAGGGAGGACATCCTTAGCCCGTACAAACAATTAGGGAAGACATCATAAACCCGTACAAACAATTAGGGAAGACATCCTAAGCCCGAAAAAACAATTAGGGAAGACATCCTAAGCCCGAAAAAACAATTAGGGAAGACAGCCTAAGCCCGTACAAACTATTAGGGAGGACATCCTAAGCCCGTACAAACAATAAGGAAGGACATCCTAAGCCCGTAAAAGCAATAAGGAAGAAGGACATCCTAAACCCGTACAAACAATTAGGGAAGACAGCCTTAGCCCGTAAAAACAATTAGGGAGGACATCCTAAGCCCGTAAAAACAATTAGGGAAGACAGCCTAAGCCCGTGCAAACAATTAGGGAAGACATCCTAAACCCGTACAAACAATTAGGGAAGACATCCTCAACCCGTACAAACAATTAGGGAAGACAGCCTTAGCCCATACAAACAATTAGGGAGACATCCTAAACCCGTACAAACAATTAGGGAAGACAGCCTAAGCCCGTACAAACAATTAGGGAAGACATCCTCAACCCGTACAAACAATTAGGGAAGACATCCTCAACCCGTACAAACAATTAGGGAAGACAGCCTAAGCCCGTGGAAGCAATTAGGGAAGACAGCCCAAGCCCGTACAAACAATTAGGGAAGACATCCTCAACCCGTACAAACAATTAGGGAAGACATCCTAAGCCCGAAAAAACAATTAGGGAAGACATCCTAAGCCCGAAAAAACAATTAGGGAAGACAGCCTAAGCCCGTACAAACAATTAGGGAAGACAGTCTTAGCCCGTACAAAGAATTAGGGAGGACATCCTAAGCCCATAGAAACAATTAGGGAGGACATCCTAAGCCCCTACAAATAATTATGTAAGACACCCTAATCCGTACAAACAATTAGGAAAGACATCCTATACCCGTACAAACAATTAGGAAGACATCCTAAACCCGTACAAACAATTAGGGAGGACATCCTAAGCCCGTACAAACAATTAGGGAAGACATCCTAAGCCCGTATGAACAATTAGGGAGGACATCCTAAACCCGTACAAACAATTAGGGAAGACATCCTTAGCCCGTACAAACAATAAGGAAGGACATCCTAAACCCGTACAAACTATCAGGGAAGATATCCTAAGCCCGTACAAACAATTAGGGAAGACATCCTAAGCCCGAAAAAACAATTAAGGGGGACATCTTAAGCCCGTAAAAACAATTAGGGAAGACATCCTAAGCCCGTACAAACAATTAGGGAGTACATTCTAAACCCGAACAAACAGTTAGGGAGACCAGCTTAAACCAGTACAAACAAATAGGGAGGACATCCTAAGCCCGTATAAACAATTAGGGAGGACATCCTAAACCCGTATAAACAGTTAGGGAGGACAGCTTAAACCAGTACAAACAAATAGGGAGGACATCTTAAGCCCGTATAAACAATTAGGGAGGACAGCTTAAACCAGTACAAACAATTAGGGAGAACAGCCTTAATCCGTACAAACAATTAGGGAGGACAGCCTAAGCCCGTGCGAACAATTAGGAAGGACATCCTAAACACGTACAAACAATTAGGGAGGACATCCTAAACACCTACAAACTATTTGGGAAGACATCCTAAGCCCGTACAAACAATTAGGAAGACATCCTAAGCCCGTACAAACAATAAGGGAGGACATCCTAAGCCCGTACAAACAATTAGGGAGGACATCCTAAGACCGTACAAACAATTAGGGAAGACATCCTAAGCCCGTATAAACAATTAGGGAGTACATTCTAAACCCGTACAAACAAATAGGGAGAACAGCTTAAACCAGTACAAACAAATAGGGAGGACATCTTAAGCCCGTATAAACAAATAGGGAGGACAGCTTAAACCAGTACAAACAAATAGGGAGGACATCTTAAGCCCGTATAAACAAATAGGGAGGACAGCTTAAACCAGTACAAACAAATAGGGAGGACATCTTAAGCCCGTATAAACAAATAGGGAGGACAGCTTAAACCAGTACAAACAAATAGGGAGGACATCTTAAGCCCGTATAAACAATTAGGGAGGACAGCTTAAACCAGTACAAACAAATAGGGAGGACATCTTAAGCCCGTATAAACAATTAGGGAGGACAGCATTAACCCGTATACACAATTAGGGAGGACATCCTAAGCCCGTACAAACAATAAGGAAGGACATCCTAAGCCCGTACAAACAATAAGGAAGGACATCCTAAGCCCGTACAAACAATAAGGAAGGACATCCTACACCCGTACAAACAATTAGGGAAGACAGCCTTAGCGCGTACAAACAATTAGGAAAGACATCCTAAACCCGAACAAACAATTAGGGAGGACATCCTAAGCCCGCACAAACAATTAGGAAGACATCCTAAACCCGGACAAACAATTAGGGAAGACAGCCTTAGCCCGTACAAACAATTAGGAAAGACATCCTAAACCCGTACAAACAATTAGGAAGACATCCTAAAGGAAGACATCCTAAACCCGTACAAACAATTAGGGAGGACATCCTAAGACCGTACAAACAATTAGGGAAGACAGCCTAAGTTCGTACGACGAATTAGGTAGGACATCCTTAGCCCGTAGAAACAATAAGGAAGGACATCCTAAGCCCGTACAAACAATAAGGAAGGACATCCTACACCCGTACAAACAATTAGGGAAGACATCCTTAGCCCGTAAAAACAATTAGGGAGGACATCCTAAGCCCGTACAAACAATTAGGGAAGACATCCTAAGCCCGTACAAACAATTAGGGAAGACATCCTAAACCCGTACAAACAATTAGGGAAGACATCCTAAACCCGTACAAACAATTAGGGAGGACATCCTAAGCCCGTACAAACAATTAGGGAAGACATCCTAAGCCCGTACAAACAATTAGGGAGGACATCCTAAGCCCGTACAAACAATTAGGGAAGACATCCTAAACCCGTACAAACAATTAGGGAAGACATCCTAAACCCGTACAAACAATTAGGGAAGACATCCTAAGCCCGTACAAACAATTAAGGAAGACATCCTAAGCCCGTACAAACAATTAGGGAAGACATCCTAAACCCGTACAAACAATTAGGGAGGACATCCTAAGCCCGTACAAACAGTTAGGGAGGACATCCTAAGCCCTTACATAAAGTCGAGACTAAGTGTTCGTATCTACAACATTGTCATGGTGTATCCTTTCAAATCATCGACGATCTACAACTACGCGGTGAGCACTAATCTTGGCAGATAGTGAAACGCAAAGTAAATCATGTCCAGAACGATTCAATAGTGGGCAAAGTCCACGTTATATTGAAGGAAAATCAAGAAACATACCGTCAAATAGTGTCTAGTAAAATGAAAAACTAAGTAGTAAAACAATGTGGGTAAATTAACAACTGAGTAAAATATGGCCTAACTTACTTCCTTCCATGCCCGAGCGCCTGCTTGGTGTTGGACATTAATGAGTCTCAACTTCACCAATTCATTTACGCCATTACTGCTAAATCTGACCACGGTATCATAGTCCAGCCGATGTACAGCCTTCATCCGTCTGTTAAGACATAACAGTATGATATTAAAACCTACTAATACAAAATGAGATAAGTATGTAAGTATGATAGTAGCATTTAGCTATGGTAGAAAAATGTAATTAGCACGCCTTTGGATTGAGACATATAACGTTTTAAATAGAGATACGTTACGTATAGATAGGGACATAACGCGGCAAGCATACAACAATTTCCTAAAATAGTTACCTTCATGTTAAGGTAGGAGGTACATTGTATATTCCTGGAATAGATAATAATGATAACTAAATAAGTGTGTATTGTTCTTGTCGTATGGTTTATATTTGTATATGTATGTCCCTACATATTACGGACTACCTACGTACGCGTATAGTGCGCGTCCGTCCCGCCAGGTGTCGTTCTGGGTACCGTTACAGGACAGTCTGGGCGACATATTATACTTGTCTAGGTGTCCCGCTAAGTTAGTGAGAGCCTTTGCCCAAATCTTGAGACTCATTTCTGCAGCGTCGGCCTCGTTTTCTCCTGGATCCTTGTAATAATTTATTCCTACAATAAAATTGCGTTGCTTTAAACAGATAAATTAATAATGATAAGCCAATTAAACTCGCACAGTGATACAACTTATTTATTTGTATTTGATTTTTGGATAAGTCAACAGAGTCTCAAGTCATTAACACGGGAGAAGTCTTTGTCATAACTTACACAATGTCGTCGATTGTTAGGATTCTAATTCGTATCAGAATAGATTCGAAGTCAACATTGTTAACACCGTATATATACATCAGGCAGACCTATTTTTTCACAGCGTTGGGAATCATCTAATGAACCTTATTTATCCTGTTTATTCTCGCAAACACGCTCTTTAATAGATAATTCACCAGAAAATCACTCATGTCCAGAGTCGATTTCAGTTGTCATTTTCCCATATAATCCCAAGAATTTACAGTTGTTTTATGGCTGTTTTTCAACAGCCACAACTGATGTCCCGATGCCATTTGTTCCTCGGGTAGCTACTGCTCCAGGCCGCTATCTTTAGCAGCAATTAAACAAACAAAACCACGATATAACTGACCGACACACCTATTAAGCTTACTTACTTAAATCAACTTCATCAACGCTAAAATCTAAAGTGTAGTTCATCAATGCTAAAAACTAGTTTATTATTACTAAAACCCAGATCATCGTTACTAAAATAATTAAGACATGCAGACTGTATTATAAAACACGTTCTTGTGCGATACATTTTGTAGACTAAGCTTTTTCTATATTTACTGTAAGACATGTTGAACCGATTAGGTTCATTAATCAAAACCTTGTTTTGTACAGTATTTAAGTAGTTAAAACACGGAATTCCGTTAAACAGTTGTAAAGAGATTGGCAACAATATCTGAACAGAAATCGCTTACAATCAGAAAATGGCATTCGTCTTCTATTAAGTTTAAATAACAAAATGTACAAAACCAATTTTAAGAGCTTTTTATGGCGAGAATAACGACCCGTTTCTATGTTTAATTTAATATTATCGCCAACTACTGTCTATATCTAGAATCCAAAATGCTATTCAGCATATTTTTTCACATTAGCGTTGTTGTGTAACTCTCTATACATGTACCACTTTGTCAGTGTACACGCAGGTGAAATGATGCTGAGCTAATTTCACACCTTCCTTGATAGTTTCTAATGGTGTTATTGGTCCAGGCTATTATCTCAAGGTACATAGTTTGACAATTCTGTTCCGTCAACTGTGGCTGGCAGTAAGAGACCATTTATGGAGCATTTTTTTTTTAATAAGCTTCTTGTCATCAGTGAATTTCAAATAATCACAGTCTGCACACCTCGACCTTCTGATAAACTTTCCTGGAGTTTTATCCCAGATCGCCTCACGTGAAGATGTTTGAGCCGTTTTCCTGTGCCTGGAAACAATCTACAGGCGCATATTGCAGAACCATAAAAATTTACAGGTTCACAAGAGACTAGTATAGGTGTTTGAAGCCTGCTAGAGACCATCTCTCCCGCAAATTTGGATTAAAAGTGTTACCTTTGAAACCCTGCTAAGCTAAACATTTTAACATATAAAGGAAGTATTATGATTAACTGTATTCATTACACGCTAAACCTTCACCAACACCTTTACAGTATACTGTTTCAAACTTTTATAACATTTCAGTATACAATTTAATTCTGATGAGGATATTAGTACATTAATGGAAGCATGAACTTCCAAGCTATATAACTCATTATTGATTATGTGCTAAAACGTTAAAGAGATCATTGGTGATTGCATTACCTTTTTAACTATTTAATGAGTGATGTTTTATATTCTTGTTGGTTTCGGGACCTCTTATAACTAATTTGGTTTTAATCTGGATTTTTTTTCTTTTTCAAAAATATCCTTATTATAACTTTTTTTGCATACATATACAAAAGTTTTGCAAAGCTACATTTGTTAGGGACAGACGGATGAAAGACGCTCACCTGCAGCTTATTCGTTAAGTGTGACAACGATGCACGTGCAGCGTACTTACCTAGTGCCCCTATAGGGTATGACCGTGATGTACGTCCACCTTTTTTTATTGTACCAACACTAAATGAAGTCAGCATCCAAATGAACTTTTCCCCAGTAAGTCCCAATGAGTCTGCAGCGTCTAATAAGTTTTTTGCCTGCAATGACCTGAAAAAATCATCAGAAATATGTTATACCGATAACTTGCTGAGTGGGACAATCACATACAATGTAGAATTTTTTACATGCGTTAACAAGAATTGTATTAAAAAAATAAAATAATACCAATTATTGTAAATACGTTACAGTAAATACATACAATCAGATACACACAACTTAACAGCAACAGAAACCTATGTATATAAACGGTATTACATAATGTAAATTCAGAGTTCATTTATTGTTATACATTACCATTTCATGGTTTGTAAGAATGCGTTTAAAATGATATATGCAGACACTTATATTGAATATAGTATGTCAATACTTATAACAGCGGTACTACTTATACTTATTACAAACCCTGTATGAAGTAAGAAAACTCTGTTCTCTTTTGTATTTCTTCGTTTAATTTCTTTTCTCATCAGTTCGATTTGTTTCTCGTCCTCGTCATTTGAATCAATGTCCACGATAATGTTCGATAGCACAGTCATTCTGAAACAAAAAGGCAAGTACCAGTAATTAGATGTGACTTAGTTGGTTGTATCGATGACAGATATAGTGTGTAACGGTGACATGTATTGTACCAAAATAGCAGGTAAAGTACCAATATAACAAGTAATGTAATGATGATAGGTAGTGTACCGATATGACAGGTAGTGTACCGAGATGGTAGGTAGTGTACCGAGATGGAAAGTAGTGTACCGATATGGTAGGTAGTGTACCATGATGGTAGGTAGTGTAACGAGATGGTAGGTAGTGTACCATGATGGTAGGTAGTGTACCGAGATGGTAGGTAGTGTACCATGATGGTAGGTAGTGTACCCAGATGGTAGGTAGTGTACAGATATGACAGATAGTGTACCGACATGACAGATACTGTACTGGTTGCAGGTAGTGTACCGACATGACAGATAGTGTACCGACATGACAGATAGTGTATTGATGGCAGGTAGTGTACCGACATGACAGATAGTGTACCGACATGACAGATAGTGTACTGGTTGCAGGTAGTGTACCGACATGACAGATAGTGTACCGACATGACAGATAGTGTACTGGTTGCAGGTAGTGTACCGACATGACAGATAGTGTA